TAGATGGTAGTTTTTCTTTTGAGTTATCTTATAGCCATATTCCGTCCTGTTAAGTTCGCTGGTTAATTAGGGATATACAAAATAGACAAAGAGCCATCTTGAAATATTACTCTGTTGATGATTATTTCACCTGACTTATAGATTTCATTTATATGATTGAAGTGAAGTGTTCTTTCCATATCGACATACCTTGTTTGATCAAATTGATGACGACAGGTGATACCTTGTATATATTTAAAGACTTTAAGATCCAGGAATGGGGTACACTATCGAATGCCTTACGGTAATCTATCCAGGCAGTACTGAGATTTTTCTTTGTATTGAAGCAATTTTCCAAGATCATCCTATTAATAAGTAATTGGTCTTTACATCCGTAAGAGCCACGTTTGCACCCTTTTTGTTCAAGAGGTAGTATGTCATTTTTTTTTAAGAAGGAATATGTCTGTTTTGTCAGAATAGATGTCAACAGTTTGTAAGTAGTGGGAAGACATGTAATTGGTCTGTAGTTTTTTTTTTGAACATTTTTTTTTGTCACCATTTTTTGGTAGAAGGAAGGTAATTCCTTTGGTTATCCATACCTGAATTTTAGTAGGATCATTGACCATTTCTTGAAGTTCTTTGGCTAGTTTTTTGTGCTGTATTTAGATAATAGAGCCAAAAGTTAGGAATTTTATCTATTCCTGGAGATTTCCATTTGTGTGCTTTTTTTCAGTGCACATTCAACATCCTTCTTCTGATTTCCCGCCCATGTTTGTTCTGGTTTATTTTTCATCCGTTCTACCTCTTGCGTAATCCAATCTGCTTTTTTTTATGTTCTTTAGGGCAAAGCCATATTTTTTTTTCAGAACTGTATAACCTCTTCCATTTTTTTTGGTGGGGGTTGTCACTTCAATTTTTCTTCTTATTTCTCTTTAAAATTTGTTCGCATCGGTTTGAAAGATCTTGTCTGTAAAATCTTGATCTTTTTTCATAGCGTCTGATTCTTTGAGTCTTCAGTTGTATTGATGTTTTATTTATGTTAGATTGTAGGACTTTATTTTCTTCCTAATTTTGTATTTTCTTTTCTGCATTTTCTAGTCCTTACATTTGTTCCTCTTGTTAGTTCATCGAGTACTTATAATTCACTTCTATGTTGTTCAATTTCTTTCTTTATTTTCTTTTTCAAGGTGGATCTTCATGTCTGTGAGACTGCCTTTTTTTTTTTTGATTTTTTTTTTTTTTTAGTTTGGCTGTTGACTGATGCATATATTGCTTCATTGAGACTTATATGTGGGTCTACTTCATCCAGAATTAATTTGAGTGCTGCATTGTAGAGTTTAAGAGTTTTGAGGTTATGCTTTGCTGGTAGTAATTTCGGAGTTGCTTTCGTTCCTCCATTTTAATATTTTGTGTCTCATAATTTCTTCCTTGACTTCTTGTATACTATTCTTGTTTTCCGTAAAATAATTCGGTTCAATGTATTTTGGACTCTTTTTATTGCAGGCTTGTGAGCGACTGATCACGTTTTCCAACTCTTCTAAACTTTTCAGCATTATCTTCACAGTGATTGGTGTGTATCTCAGTTTCTTTCATTATGATCTGTGGTTTGTGTGATGTTAATACTTTTTATCTCCATTTCTTGTTCCTTTTCATGTTCTCTTGATTCACCTCTTCTGGTTACACTTCTTTTTATTTCTTTTATTTAACCGTTTGTCAATCGGTTCTCATTAGGTACCGTCCTACATTGGTTAGTTTATTTTCATCAATGTACTTTCTAATTGTTTGTCCAACCTTTTCTCTCCAAATGTCATATGTTTGGCGAGTGATCTTTTAAATTCGGACAACCTCTTTTTATCCACTGAACATTTTGGCTTGACTTTTAGTTCTCATATTGTTCCACACCTACATATACAGGTCCAAAGGTCCACCCAAAGACGCCCGGCACATTGGGTAACGGGCTTTTACAAGACAGGGTTCCGAAGCCTGCAAGGGTTCGCGATATCATAACGCAGTAGTCATTCACTCCTCGGCATGATTAACACCTTGAGTTGAGGGTTGTTGTTGTTGGGGGTGGTTCTCTCGCCTGGTGCAATTTCGAGTTGATGATAACATCTGTGGGTTTATACTCGGTCGAGGAAAAATGGGAAGAGGTCCCGATGCATTTCAAAGTTGAAAATAATTATGGGTCCAATATTTGTTAAATATTATTACATGTTCTTTTTTCATTTCTGGCGTTTACATTTATTTTCCGGTCCCTATAGGGACCTAAGGTTCAAATATCATATATTTTTCATATAAAAAAAGAAAAAAAAATTACATAATAAAGCCCTTTTATAAAGTGTGGGCTGTACTTGTCAGAACAATTTTTTGTAACTCTTTGATAGTGTGGACTTCAGGAATCACTTCAATTAGTCTATTGGAATCTTTTCCAAAAATTCCTAGGGGCTCCAACTACAATGTTGATGTTCCCATATATTTCCACATTTTGAGATTTCTATTTCAAACGTTGTATTTTGACAGCTATTTTTGAATATCTTCAAAGATACATTACAGTCAGCAGGGACTGCCATATCAATAAGAAGGCACCGTTTTTGTTTGTTTTTAATAACAATTTATTATTATTATTATTATTATTATTATTTAGTAATACTCAGTTAATATAGAGTTATTATAGAGGCACGGTGGTGTAATGTGTTATCTAAAAGACCAGAGTTCGAACTCAGAAAGAAGTTCTTAACATTCCAGCTTAAAAATATTTCTTCCTCTCAACTATGGGTAAAATAGCAGGTTTGATGGGTTAAATAATTTTTTGCAACCAGTTTAGGAGAAAAAACTTGAATTAAAAAGATCGATTTATCCTAGAAGTGTGTTCATGCATTCGGGTTTTATTTCCTTAATCCAAATTTCTATTGAAAATATTCATCTTTAAAAGCAAGCCCAGCATTCAAAAGGAACTGACTGACTAACTCGGCTACCGCTCGCCAGGATTCCACTATACTCCAGACAGAAATTCATCTCCAAAATTAAAAAAAAAATAGCCTCTAAAACATATTTTTATCAACGACTTCTAATGTTAATGGTCAAAAACATTGAATCAAATATGTAACTTGTCCGTGACCAAAGTGAGAATTCAATTTAGAGAGCATTGGTTGCGGTTTAACATGGAGAGGGTTAGGGATCGAACCCCGATCTACTTTGCTCAAGACACGCTATGCATAAATGAATACCTCTTATGTATGTGGATGGAACTGGTCATGTGACCAACGGCTGAGTGAGCCAATGACCATACCCGGTCAAGGGACTGGCGACGACGACGTTGATGATGAAAAAATTAGCTACAAATAGAAAAGGTCTAAAATTAATTACAGAAAATAAGTACAAACGAACAACAACAAAAATGTGTTTTTAAAAAATATCTTTAAGAGGATAATAGACACACACACGCACACACACACACAATTCACAACACACTTTACACACATTTTTCAAACACACATATATATATAAAAGTAAATAAAATGTTTATTTTCATGCTGAACGCAACCAGGCGGCCTGACGAAGAATCCACTATGAAATATATAAGGCCAAGCTTCATCCAATAATAAATATATATATATATAAATATATATAAAAAATGTGTATATATATATATATATATATATAAATGATATTTCTAAAAAGATGAAAAGTCGAAAATTTATTAATGATGCGTTTCGGAGAATGAAACCTTGTTTGTTCAAAATGAGCATAAATATTTCCGGCGTAACGCATCGTTCATAAATTTTCTATTTTGCACCATCATCTTCACATTTGATCCGGATACTATTATTCCTCTCTCAGGTTTTGGATCTCTCTCTATATATATATATATATATAGTCATTCACAGATAGATTGTTTCGCTGTATCACAGCCCCTCAGTGTGGCTAGACATCAGATCGCTTCAAGCCGGGATCGAAACCCGACCGAATTGACATCGGTTAGAGTATCTAACCCCTAGGCTATCGACATCCCGCAGAGAGAAGACGAATTTTTACGTATTTATTTTATCATAAACACGACACTGACCCAGAAAAATCAATGCAATTTGGAGAGTCTTGCATTATCAGTAGTAATAGTGACTGTTTACAAATTCGCGCTTGTCTCCCCGCAATGCTCCACCGATTTAATTATTTTTTCGGGAGCTGATATCGTCATCCGCAGACACAGTTTCGCTGTATCACAGCTCATCAATGGCGCTAGACATCGTATCACTTATGTGTGTGTGTGTGTGTGTGTGTGTGTGTGTGTGTGTGTGTTCATTTTATGAGAGACTCAGATTAACAAAATAGAATCAGGAAACTTGAAAACTTAACATCAGATTTAACCCTTCGTCTTTTTTAATTTTGGGCCCCTTGCGTACAATAAAGTGTCGGTTGGAATGTTTCGAGATAATCTAGGTGACTGTCTTCTCGTCGTTGCCGGTGTGAGGCTAATTAGCACTGACAGGAAGTAGATAAGAGAACCCTGTTTATTTTAGAAGGCCAGTTTAGAGAATGTGATAGACGTTCTTTCCCACAAAGAAAGGCAGAGGTACATTTTTCTTGGCTCGTAATCTGCGCATCTTCCTATATATGATACTGTTCGACAGCTGCCGATGCGTGGTTTGAAAATGTCTCTCTCGGGTGGCACCAAAAATAGAGGAGAAATGTTATTCTATATACCGGGGGCACTCAACTGTCTCCAGAAGTCTTTTTTTTTAAAACCAAAGACTAAATATATAGTTAAAAGCTGCTTTTTGCACGTAATATTTTGTTCTGATAGAGGGGGTGTATAATATGTGTCACTTATTCATCTGAAGATTAGATTACATGAAATATGTTTATTTGTAACACAACTTTTTCAAGCAATTTTTTGTTAGGGACATTATCTCAATCCTCCGGTGGGGATTTGAAGAGCGCTGTCTACAGTATCTGGCACTGCAACATCTTCCAACTCTAATATTTCCGTCTTTGGGACTTCTGTAAATTATGTGAAAATTTAGTTAAAAAAGATTTCTCTTTTCACTCTTTGTCTCTCTATCTCTTATTCGCTTTCGCTTTTTCTCTCTCTCTCTCTTATTTTCTCTCTCTATCTCTCTTTCCCTCTATCTATTATTCCTTCCCGCTTTCTCTCTCTATCTCTTATTCCCTCTCGCCTTCTATCTTTCTTATGCCCTCTCGTTTCCTTTCTCTCTCTTTCTCTTATACCATCTCGATTTTTCTCTCTCTTATTCCTTCTTGATTTTCTCTCTCTCTTATTCTCTCTCGTTTTCTTTCTCTCTCTTTCTCTTATATCATCTTGATTTCTCTCTCTCTTCTCTTATTCCTTCTTGATTTTCTCTCTCTCTTATTTCTAGTTTTTTCTTTAAATCTTTTCTCTTATATCATCTTGATTTCTCTCTCTCTCTCTCTCTCTCTTATTCCTTCTTGATTTTTTTCTCTTTCTTTTATTTCTCTCTCAACCATCATTTTTTTTTTTCTTTCTCTTTAATATCTTTGATTTTCTTTTTCTTTTATTCCTTTTTTTTCTCTCTCTGTCTTTCTCTCTTATTTTTTCTTTCTTTTTTTTTCTTTTTCATTTTGATTTCTTTTTCTCTCTTATTGTCTCCTTCTTTTTTTCTCTCTTTCTTTTTCTCTCGTTTTCTTTTTCTCTTTTCTCTTTAAATTTCTTGATTTTTTCTTTTTCTTTCTTTTCCTTCCTTTTTTCTTTCCTTCTCTCTTGCTTTTTTCTTCTTTTTTTTTCTTTTTTTTTTCATTTCTTTCTTTTTTCTTTTCTCTTCATTCTTTTTTTTTTTCATTCTTTTCTTCTTTTCTTTTCTTTTTTTCTTTTTTTCTTTTTTCTTTCTTTTCTCTTTTTTCTTTTCTCTCTTCTTCTTTCTTTCTTTTTTTTCTTTTTTTTCTTTTTTCTTAGATTTTTTTCTTTCTTTCTTTCTTTCTTAATTTTTCTCTCTTCTTATTTTCTTTTTTTTTTTTTTTTCTTCTTTCTTTTTTCTTCTTTTTTTTTCTTTTCTTTCTTTCTCTCTCTTATTCCATTCAACTCTTCTTTTTTTCTTTTTTTTTCTTCTTTTCTTTCTTTCTTTTTTTTTCTTTTTTTTCTTTCTTTCTTTCTTTTTTTTCTTTTTCTTCTTTCTCTTTTTCCTCTCTTTTCTTTTTTATTTCTTTCTTTTTCTCTTTCTTTCTTCTTTCTCTCTTTTTCTCTTTTTTCTTTTCTTTTTCTCTTTCCCTCTCTTTTCTTCTCTTTTCCTCTTTCTTTTTTTCTTTTTTCTCTTTTTCCTCTTTTCTTTTCTTTTTTCTTTTCTTTTTTCTTTCTTTTTTCTTTCTTTTTCTTTTTTTCTTTTTTTATTTCTTTTTTTTTTTTTCTCATTCTTTTTTTCTTTCTTTCTCTGATCTTTTTTCCTTTTCTTTTTTTCTTTTCTTTTTCTTCTTCTTTTTTCTTTCTTTCTTTTTCTTTTCTCTTTTTCTTTTTTTCTTTTCTTTCTTTTTTTCTTTTTTTCTTTTCTTTTTTTTCTTTTCTTTTTTTTTTTCTCTTTTTTTTTCTCTTTTTTTCTTTCTTTTTTCTTTTTTTTCTTTTTTTTCTTTTCTTTTTTTTTTTTCTTTTTCTTTTTTTTTTTTTCTTTTTTCTTTCTTTTTTTCTTTTCTCTTTTTTTTTCTTTTTTTTTCTCTTTTCTTTTTCTTTTTTTTTTTTCTTTTTTTTTCTTTTCTCTTTCTTTTTTCTTTTTTTTTTTTTTTCTTTTTTTCTTTTCTTTTCTTTTTTCTCTTCTCTTTTCTTTCTCTTTTCTTTTTTTTCTTTTTTCTCTTTTTTCTTTTTCAAAAAATTTTTCTTTTTTTTTATTTTTTCTTTTTCTTTTTTTTTCTTTTTTTCTTTTTTTCTTTCTTTTTTTTTTTTTCTTTCTCTTTTTTTTTTTTCTTCTTTCTCTCTTTTTTTTCTTTTTTCCTTCTTTCTTTTTTCTTTTCTCTTTTTTCTTTTTCTCTCTCTTTTTTCTTTCTCTTTCTTTTTTCTTTTTTTCTTTTTTTCTTTTTTCTTTCTTTCTTTTTTTTTTTTCTTTCTTTCTTTCTTTTTTTCTTTTTCTTTTTTTTTTTTTTTTTCTTTCTTTTTTCTCTCTTTTCTCTTTTTTTCTTTCTTTTTTTTTTCTCTTTTTTTTCTTTCTTTTTTTTTTTTTTTTTTCTTTTTCTTTCTTTTCTTTTTTCTTCTCTCTTTTCTTTTTTCTTTCCAGTTTTCTTTTCTTTTTTTTTTTTCTTTTTTTTTTTTTTTTTAAATCTTTTTTCAACAAATTCATCCTTCTTTCTTTTTTTCTTTCTTTTCTCTTTTTTTCTCTTTCTCTCCTCTCATTTTTTCTTCTTTTCTCTTCTTTCTTTTTCTCTTTTTTTTTCTCTTTTATTATCCTTTTTTTTTCAAAAAATTTTTTCTTTTTTTTTTCTGTCTCTCTCTTCTTTTTTTTTTTTTTCTTTTTTAAAATTTTTTCAAAGTTTTCTTTTTTTTTCTTGTTTCTATTAACTAGCTTCTCTTCTTTTTTCAAATTTTTTTAATTTTTTTCCTCTTGAAAAATTGGTTTTTGATCTTAAATCCAAACTTTTTTCTTTCTTAAACCATTATTTTCTTTGATTTTCTCTCGTTCTGTGAAATTAAATCATTTCCTTTCCTTCTTTCTTAATCCTCCGTTTAAAAACTATTTTTAATGTTTCTCATTTAAATTTCTTTATCTTTCTCTCTTGTTTCAATCCTTTCTTTGAAATATTCCATTTCCTTTTTTTTTTTTTTTCTTTTATCTTATTGAACTCCTTTTCTCTCTTTCTTTATTCCTTCAAATCTTTTTGAAAAATTTTATCGTATTATTCTCGAATTTTTTTTTTGTACTCTCTCAATCCCAGCATTGAAAATTTTTGTTTTTTCCAATCCTTATTTCTCTTTTAATAATAATTTTAATTTTATTTTTCTGTTTGACGCTTTTATATTTTCTCGCTCTCTTATTCCCTTTCATTTTTTTCCTTCTCTTATATTCAACTATTTTTCTTTTTTTGTCTCTCTCTCTCTCATTTCTTTCCAAAATTTTCAACAAATTTTATATCATTAACAATCTAAAACTCTCATAAATTCCATATATCAGTTCTTTTTTTTGGAAATATATATTTCAAACAAAAAAAAGGAAAATATTCTTATTTATTCCCCTCATTTTTTTTTCCTTCTTTCTTCTTCTTCCCTCTTGATTTCTTAATCTAATGTCTTAATTCAATTGTTAATTATAATTTTATAAAAATTTTTTTTTTAGTTTAGAATATTATTAATTGAAATCCTTTCTCTTATGAAATAATATTTGGTATTTATTCCCTCTCATTTTTCTTTTCATCACTCTTAAATTATCCTTTTTTTTTTTTTTGTGTGTCATTCCTTTTGTTTTTTGAATCTCTCACTTTTTCCAATTCTTCAGGAACTCTTATTCCATAAAATTTTTTTTTCTTTCTTTTTATTTTGATGAAGAATCTTTCTGTCTCTGTCTTTATTCCTCTCAAAAATTAAAAATCAATCTTTCAAACTAATAAAATTTTCAAATAAAATATTTCCAATTAAATTTTATTCTCTCTTATTCCATTCCTTTTTTTCAAAATTCTTTTTTTATTCCTTTCCGATTTCTCTTTCGTATTTTCTGTCGAAATTCTCTTTCTCTGTCTTATTCTTTCGCTTTCTTTCTTTTTTCTTTCTTTTTTTTTTTTAGAAATGTTCATTCTTTCTTTCTCTTTTCCCCTGTTCGTTTTCTCTTTCTTTATCCCCCAAAAATTTCAAAATATTCATAGTTTATCAATCTCGCTCTCCGTCTATATCATCCCTTTTTTTTTTCTTTGTTTTACTTCAATCGCTCATCATTTTCGAGGGAAATACTGCTTGCTGCTACGGTATGACCGCATAAGATACTTGTGGAAGAATTTTGATGATTTTTATCAATCTCCGATATCTTTAAACGATTGTTTAATGACAAATTTTTCTCTCAATCAATATTTTCTAAAGAAACAATGTGCAGATTTTTTTTTCATTTTAAATTTTATCTTTTTCATTTCTCTCTGTCTGTCTAAGATCTCTTCTTGACTCAGTTTTCTTCCCTCAAATCCGTAATAAAATCCATCCAAATTTCATTCTTATATTGAATATTAAAATGAATATCCATAAAGAGAGCTCAATGTATTTATTCAAAAACCAATATGATATACATCAAGGAAAAACTTTTTCAGCACATTTCGTTAAAACACGAATATAAATTATTATTTATTTTGACATTTCCTTTTTGTATTTTCTGAAAGATAAACATTATAAACTATTTTTTTAATTTTAGAAAATGATGAAAAACCGTGAATTTTTATTAATTAATTAAGTTTTTTTTTATTTTTATATATATATATATGTTTCATTAAATAATATGTGTGACGTCACGAGCTGCGACGCGAGTTTCGCTTCCGCGTCTCGTATATATAAAGAGTTTGTCGTTTGGAAAATTTCAACCGCAAGTTTTTTCATTATTGTTTCATGTCCGTGTGTTGTTTGATTTATTGAAATTGTTATCTTTGATAATGGCTTATGTATTTAAAAAAAAGACTGGATTTAAACATGTATCAATATTGTTTATTTTTTAGTCTTTCAATTTTAATGTAATTAAGTTTATCAGACAATATGAAAGGAACTTATTTAAAATAAATAGACAAAACTTGTCTATATTATTTAATGAAACATACATTAATGAAAAAATTTATATATATATTCCATATATATATATATATATATTATATATATATAGGATCTTTAAGTTTCCTTTTTATTTATTTATTTTAATTGAACAAAAAATAAATTATAGTGGTTTAAGAAAATTAAATTTAAATTTATCAAAATTTAAATTAAAAACAATATATGTTTTTTTGATTAAAATTTAAAATGATGTTCAAAAATGCCTTTCATGATAATACATCGATGAAAAACATTAAAATAAGCACTTCTCAAATTCATTTGACAAATTTTTCATATTCATTTTCAGAAAATTTCTCAGAAATTGCTTGTTTTTGTTCAGGAATTTTTTTCCCTGGTTTGGGCCTGTAAACAAGATTTAGTCCCCAACTTACAAGAATAAGTCTGCATGGTGTTAAAATCAGGTAATCGTTGTTTGAGCCTTTGTATTGCTCCAACGTCGTTTCGATCCACTTCATTCGGAATTAAGATTTATCCATTTTTGAGCGCATGTAAGCCATAAATTTAATCTTAAG